TGTGCTTTCCAGTTGAGGTTATTAGATACCAAATCAGTCAGAAGTGGCAATGTCGGAAGAGTTCTTTATTCTCCTCCTAATGTTAAGGCCCCCTCAGCATAGAAGCCCTTGCAACTCAATAACTAAATCATAACCCAACTGGGATCAATCAAGCAATGTCCAGGGATCAGAACCTGCAACTTTTTGACCTGTACAGTTTACTACTAAGGTCACTTTCCACTCCGTTATTGTTTTTAAGACAGGGCATTTAATGTACTATCCAGTAGGACAAGATAAATTCTTTTAACCCTGGAAATCTAATGCTTGAAGCCCCAGGTACCTCTTGTTTGTACTGTATAGTATGTAATCTAGTGATTTGCCCTGTGAGGATCATAGGTCAGAAAAGTCATTCTTAGCAATGCTGTCCAATTGGTAAAGTAAATTAAACAGACCATCACAATATGCAAATGAACAGGTCAATTCTTAAACGTCACCTTCCACCAGTATATATTGTTCTTACCTACACAGGTTCAGAGAAAAAGGTTGGTGACCAATGGTTTAAGCAGCAGGTATATGAAAAACAAATTTTGCTGTAACAGGTAGCAAATTAATACAGAAAATAAATTGCTCTTTTCTCAAATATTGCATTGTAAATTAGCAATACTATAATAGGACTTTAGTCTCACAATTGCACATTGTACTTTTAAATTTACAGTGAGACACATTTAAAGATAAAAAGAACAGAATCTACTATGTTTAAACTCACTGTAAAAATGCACCTTAACATTTCTGACAAGAAAAGAATTGACAAATAAAAAACTAAATGTAAATGACCACGTTGGTAAATTTTCTTCACGGCCCGTACTGAAGAATGTTTATTTTAAACCTTAAACCTTTTGATTGAGGTTTATTTTGAAGTTCAGTTTACTATTACATAGCAAATTTCCCATGGTTTAAACCTGAATATCCAAATTTATAAGTCTGCTTAAAAAGTACAGTTTAGTGGGGAAGACCAGTTATGCATAAATAAGCATTGTCATCCAAAGGCCACAGCAACTGGCTCAGGTTTTCATGACCTTAAGAAATTGTCGACAATTTTAACGCTCATTATTGAACTGAATTAGAATCATATAATTCCTACAGTGTGGGCAGAGGCTATTTGGCCCATCGGGTCTGCACCAAGCCTTCAAAGAACATTCTACCCAGAACCATCACCCCCAACCATATCCCTGTAACCCGACATTTACCATGGCTAATCCACCTAGCCTGCACAATCCCTGGATACTACAGGACAATTTAGCATGGCCAATCCACCTAACCTGCACACCTTTGGACTGTGGGAGGAAACCGGAACATCTGACAGAAACCCACACAAACGTGGGGAGAATGTGCAAACTCCAGTCACCCAAGGCTGGAATCGAACCTGGGTCCCTGGCACAGAGGCAGCAGTGCTAACTCCTGAGCCACCATAATTGAATCTTTCCAGTAGGGTTCCTAATGTAACAATCCACAAACCTAAATGTTTAAACATCTAGGACTTTATGAAGTAGTATTCACCCTTCCAATGCAGATTTCTTTTTTTAAAATCAACCTGTTCAGAGATGTTATTACACACCTCTGGAGCAGATGGGACTTGAACTCAGGCCTCCAGGCTCACATTTCCTCAGTACTGTATTAAAGAAAATACAGTCAAGACAGAATCCAAAAATAGTTTTCATCCTGTAGTACCATTTGTTGTCAATAGGTGTTGCCATGGGAATTTCTTTTAATTTAAAAAGATTTTGAAATGGTAATGCTAAATTTGTACTTCAAAAAACTATTCAACAAAGCCTTTTTCTTCTTCATAGTTGTTGCAGGCCTGAGTTATCCATTGGTAAATAAAATAGCTCTACTTTTCCATGTGAAACACAAATTCACATTTTCTGATTCAATTGTAATTTACTATGGTAAATATGTTGGTAATATGCTCTCATTGCTGGATGAGGCAACAATCAAACCCATACAAAATTTTCTTGGTATCACTTCAAGTCTTGACTGATTAAAAACTTTATTCTTAAAGTGGGCCAGGGTGGCAATAGGGTCACATTTATAAATTGTGAGCGTCTGTCAGAGTAGAGACAGAGCTTTATCTTTGTTCACAGGGAAGAGATAAAATCATGGGCTTCAAGAGGTCAAAAGGCAGTGACTGGGACAAGTGCCTTAAGCAAACCGTTCCATCTAAAACCTCCAGTTGGAACTTTGTGAAAAGGCTTAAGAAATAAATAAATGGAACCAGTTTACTTTTTGGAAACAGAGACTTGTACTCAATAAAACCATACTATTTATCCTGAGAAAGTCTAACTGTCCAACTAGTTATATAGAGATAAAATGCCAAAAATAAAGATAAAACCAAACTTGAAATAAAAGAAACAGTAAACATACAGATGCCTCTGGGTTCATCACGTTTTCTAATTCCAGTGACTTGTTCGAGTGAAAAACTAACAAAGGTTATCTTTCTTGAGCTACATCTTTGAGGTAAAGAGGAGTGTGGAGCAAAATGTTAGGTTTTTCTTTAAACACTTGCTTACCATCTCCACTTAGTTTTTACTTTCATGTTTTTCTGACAGAAATGTTTACAAATATGATTGTATACCATACTGCAGAATTGAGCTATTACACTCAAATTTATCCTCCAAATGTACTTTAGAAAGCATGGTCAGAGAGGCTGGTTCAAGTGAAGTGTAACTCAATTTGCCATTTTTTAAAATTAGGCAACTTTTAAAGACTACTGTTTGAGCTTGGATGGATACCTTTCAGGAAGTGTTTTGTTGTGAAATTGAAAAGCCTAAACATTAACTAGAAGAAATGGGGCAATAAAAAAAGGGCAGGGGAATAAAAATGAGTGTCTCTGCAAAGTTAATTCTTTTTGGCTTGTAATAGTTCAGTATAATTTGACTTCTTAAAGCCAGAATAACTACATCGAGAAGGATAAATAACAAGTAAAACACTAAAATAGGAACAGAATCTAATCAATGATTTGGTTTTGTTCTACTCTCTTGGTTCATTGTCCTGAACAGTTTTTTGCCTGGTTAAATGGTCAGCTGCCAGCCACCTGCTATGGCTGGAATGGCCACAGATGGTCAGTTGTCCAGTTAGTAGTTAAGAATGTGCTGTTGTTCCCACATCACACAGAGATTGAGGCCCTTGACAGGGATCCTTGAATTTAAGCTCATCACCAAGCAACAGTCAAGGGCCACAGCCAAACAGTGACTGAGGTCAGACTTAATAATCCTGCAATAATTTACACTAATAGATCATTCAGACTTAGGATTTCAAATGTAATAACATTCAGATATCACTGTTCCTTTTCTTTTCTGAAGAATCATGCCTGCAAATCGTGACCACATTGCTTAAATTGCAACAGTAGCAGTCCCAATAATACACTAAAATATTCAGAACTCTTACAATTGAAGGTACTATGCAAAAAAAAGTATTCCCCAAGCAGATAATTAGAATCTTAATTATAACATAACATCCATTAGTAAATATGTATTGAAGACAAACTAAAGGTAGCACAGTGTTTACCTATCATACAAGTTTAAAGCTTTACAGTGGCATGTGAAAAATTTTGTGTGTGCAAAAACCAACTTATATGCTCACTGTATTTTGGTTCTGCATAAAGCTTAGTCCTAGTATAATTTGATAAACGTTTGGAATAGTTACATGGCACTGCAGGAACTAGATTTCAGATCATTTCAGGTGGTCTGGAAAAAAAAATGCAGAACAACTGTGAAGGATTGTGTTGACAGAAAAGGTTGTGTAAATAATTCACACAACCAAAAAAAAGTCGCTTCAGGAAGGGGTGAGGTGTAAAATGATACTTTGTAATACTAAACCCTTTGTTTTCTAAATTACATAATGTTAAGAAAAAGCTTATTATTTCTGCCACAACACTAAAAATAAGATGTGATGAAGCATTTAACAGGAATATGCAAGTGTTCAGAAATGGTATTTTCCAATGGATGGTGGGCAATTTTGCAATTATTGAAATGGTAAGTTCTTCTCTCAGGAGGAATGAACAGATTGTGATGATTCAAACTGCCCCCCTTTTAGTGGAGCCAAAGGACAGAAAGAATTAAAATGTACTATTCAAGTTCATTAACAAATCCAATTATACTATTTCAAAAAGGAGGTACAGCATCCAGAGTTTGAATTTTTACTTAGTGATTATACAGTAGCAGTAGGCACCGCACTAGCTGGATAGCGTTTTTTTTAAAATTACATCTTCACAGCACAGATGAGAGTTGCACATTGAGTTTGTTACTTGAATATCTAAGAAAACATCTCTATAAAGGTTCCATTTCAGTATAGATTTTGGTTCCAAATTTCTACCCATTGGCTGAATATAAATTTCAATTTTCCATTTTCCTGTACAAAACATGGGGATATTTTTCTCAGACATTTCTGTACCCAGTGTCAAGCAACTTGTTTGTTGTTCATAAACTTTACTGTGGAGCTGATCCAGAGGGAAAATTAAATTTCACCCTTCCCCCACCCTTGGGGAATTCCAGCACAACTGAAGCCTAGAATAAGTATACAAGGAAACAAAATGAACTATGAACAGGATAATGGGGTGTATGACGAGGAAAAAAAAGTTGAAAAACTTTCAAAAGTAAGTAAAACATCAGCACAGCAAATAGTGATAACCAAATACATTTGGAATCAAAGCATTTTGAACAAATCTATTCAGGTGACAAATAAAGAAACCGTTAACCTGAAGTGCAAAGATGTGCATGTTAGGTGGATTGGCCATGCTAAATTGCCCATTGTATAGGGTAGGTGCATTAGCCATGGGAAATGCAGGGTTACAGGGATGGGGATTGGGGTGGGGGTGGGGGCGGGGAATGCTGTTCGGAGGATCAGTGTGGATTTGTTGGGTCTTCAATGCCCTGCTTTCACACTGTAGAGATTCGATTTTATTCTACTGGCGCTAAAGTCTCTATAAAAGTTAAGGCTAAGTGAAAGATTTGAACATTACATACCTAGTCCACTGATGGTGTAATGGGAATCTTGCATGCCGAGTCCAATGGGCCCAGTTTCCTGTTGACTTTCCTCCCTGTAAAACAGTCTGTATCCCTGGATGTGCACACTATTCTCCTCCGCTTGCCTCCAGCTTACTGTAATAGTTGTGCAGTTCAATGGCTCTAAACGCAGCTCTGGGGCCAAGGGGACTATGGAAATAAGACATGGGAAATATTATTCATGCCGAATCTATTACATTAGATGTTTCCTTGAGTTGCACAACAAATTGCAAATAAGTTTCATCATTGTTTTAAATATATGAGAAACCAACTCAGTTATTTCTAAGATAGTAGGAACTGCAGATACTGGAGAATCTGAAATAACAAGGTGTAGAGCTGGATGAACACAGCAGGTCAAGCAGCATCAGAGGAGCAGGAAAGCTGACGTTTCAGGCCTAGACCCTTCTGAAGCTGGAGTGAGTCAAATGCTTACACTCAATGCAAACTCCATTGTAAAAAAAAGATTAATTGACTCAATGTGCACCATAGCACTTGCATTAGTTCTCAGAACACTATTTATGCCTACCACAACCTAAACGCTACTGACGCCATCTTATTTTGCTGTTATTAGAAAGCTTTCATTCCATAAACAAACAAATACTTATTTTTACAGAGCTCAAAACTGAAGGGAAACTTGAAAACCAATGGCTGGCGAATTTAGGCAGCACTCCTGCTGTGTCTACTTTGAAAAAACTGAAATACAGTTAAGTTGGGTATTCAAATCTCAGTCACTAAACCTACTACAAGGTATTCAAATAGTATCTATTTCTTTCAAACAACGAAACTTGTCCCTTACACCAACATTTAAATTGGAAAACCAACTTTCAGGATTTGAAGAAAAGCACGCGCATCTTTGTTTTTTTTTTAAAAATGAAATGCTGCTTTAGGTCATAGTTTCCACACAGATCACGATTTGTGCTGAGTAGTCTCAAAGTAAGGGCCTTTTTTAAAAAAAAGTTACAGAAAAAAAGAAATCAAGGGATGACAGACAGGAGGCTACACGAAGGGAAGAGAAAAAAAAAATGCACAAGTGTAAGTAGAACACAGGATGAGCTTTTTCAAGTCTTGCTTTTCTTCTTTTAAGGGAAGGAATGCTGTCCATCCTGCTGCTTACTCCCCTAATCTGATGAAAACAACAGGCCTGGAGCCCCACAGGGATATGTCCTGCTCTAGGCCTGACAGCTCCAAGATTGATGGCTTAAGATAGCAGGCACCAGAATGAAATACTGGCGCTTTGACTGTTTATTTGGAAGTATCAGCACACATAAACACACCATCTCTTTGTCTGTGCCCAAACTGAATTATTCTTGGATGAATACCACTTACCAAAATCAAAAGGTAAACACAAGCTATCTTCTCCTCCCACAATTGTGAATCAGTTACTATTAAGCACAGACTCATCTTTATTTTTGGGGCTAGCAGACCATTGCAAACATTCATGATCCATTGATCGGAGGCCCATCCTGATGTTACTGGCACAAGGGCAAAGGTTACTAGGGTAACTGCAGCAACATCTTAACAAGATTATTGCAACAATCTCTTATGAACAACAAGCAGATCACAAGATGCTCTCTCTCAGGATGGGAGGTTTTAACTTCCATCCCCAAAATCATAACAGCTTCATCTTGCATCTCAGTTACAAAAATACATTGTATAAAATTAAACCTCATATACTTGCTTTTTATAGTTTTATTTGCAATCTCATACATTGGACAATTCATTGAGAAAACAGCATGCAGATCTATTTTGCTGAAGTAACAGAATCTACTGTGCACAGTTTACCATTTTAAAATTATTCTAATGGACTTCTTAGCTGCATTACTATAATAGAACTGCACTTCAGGAGACATGGTTTAGTCATCACGTGGCTCATCTTGCAAATCCACAATATTTCTCTTGGCAGCGTGTGAAAAAAAAGATAACTTATTGCATGTTGAAAAGTTTTCAGTGGCTCAACTCTTGTTAATTCCAACGCCCAACTTAGACCAGGCAAAAGCAAACAGAGGTATTAATGTGCCAAATAAGCCTTCAGATTGAAATAGACTCAATTTTACCGCTCTGATTTTAACTCATGGATTTTGATTTGCAGATGAAGCCCACAACACAGTTGGTGAGGGGCTCAGGCCTCATTAGCAGGTATAAGGCAAAAGCTCTTGCCTGGACCTGGTAAGCATGACAAGATGGCTGACAGACTTCACAAGGTAGGAGGTCACTATCAGCTGCACAAGAACAGATCTCAGCAATAAAGGTGATTGAAAGAAGAGATCTGGAGGAGACAAAATAATTTAACTTTTGAAGGTTATGTATGGAATTTTATTTTAGCTACAAGTGCTCAAGGAGAAAGTCTCTTTGGGACCTGATTTTCCTTCACTACATTGAATCCAACAGCAGTACTTTTAGATGTGCTAATAGTTATTTATGTAGAGACCAACCAACTAAGCTACTCAGAAAAATGAAATTCAGGCCTCCCACAAATCAAATTGTTTCAGTAACTGACTTCCAAACCCAGTCTGATTAACCCAGTACAAGTCATTTGATCTTAGTTTACTCAGTTGAAAGTGCCTCAGCTCTCAGTAAAATCAGGCTGGAATACAGTGTTGCAAAGCACTCAATTATATAAAGGCAAGTTGACAGAACCAAAATTGCTTATGTCCAAAGATTACAATGGCAGAGATGGAACATGGAGAAATGTATGGCGTGGCCAGCTACCTCCAGATTTACCTACTATCAATGAAATGCACTTTGTCCACAAAAAAATAGGGCACAGGCAAAGTTAAAATGTAGCTTTGCTATACGTTTAGTCAAGAGGGGCAATGGTTAGTATTTTATTGTGGCTTAAAATTGGAAGCTTATATGAATGCAAATTGCATGTACTACTTCACTGTGAAGGCAGAAATAAACTGGGCTGTGATGCTTAGCAGCTTCCCACATAATCGTATTTGTAAAGCTTTACACCCAGCTCATCCATTGATCATTGTCTTATAAAACGGCGTATGTATACAATCCAGCCAGTGACAATGGTTAGAAATCAGGAACTGCAAACCTGAAATTTTCTTCATCCTAGTGGAAATATGAATGATACTTTTAACACCCTTGTCAGAGCTATGGTTAAAATTAGGTAACAGAATTAAATACACAGCCTTCCACTGTGCATCACTAAAAGTACAGGCTGAGCTATTACAGGAAGTCTTTATGTTCCCGTCAAAACTGAATGGAGTGGAGTTTCAGTAGCGGAAGCATTTTGTGAAGATGTACCATAGTTCCGTAAGTTTTAAGTTACTTATGAATAAAAGGACAAGTGTGGTCCTTGGGTGAAAGTATTAAATTGGAGGAAGGCTAACTACCACAATATTAGGTAGGAACTGGGGAATGTAGATTGGGGTGACTGTTTGAGGGTAAATCCACATCTGGCGCAGGAATCTTTTAAAGACGAGTAATAAGAGTTCAGGACCAGCATGTTCCTGTGAAAATGAAGTTTAAGGATGGCAACATTTGGGAACCTTAGATGTCAAGAAAAATTAAGAGAGCTTAGTTAAAAAGAAAAAGGAGGCATATACAAAAAGTTTAGGAAACTGTATTCTTTGAGGGTTCTATCTGTTTTCAATGATAGCTGGAAAGAACTCAAACAAGGAATTAGGAGGGCTCAAAGGAGCCATGAAATGTCTTGGATTTAAGGAGTAAGGAAAATCCCAAGGTGTTTTATACCTATATAAGGAGCAAGAGGGTAGCTGGGGAAAGGGAGGTCCGCCCAAGGACAAAGAGGTAACTTATGAATGGAGAGAAAGTGGGTGGAGGTTCTTAAATGAATACTTCGCATTGGTATTTGCCAAGGAGGAGAAGGACATGGTGGATGCTGAGGCTTGAGGGGTATGCTGATATTCTACGGCATGTCAATACAAAGAAAAGGTCTTGGGTGTTTTGAAAAGCATTAAAGTAGTCAAGTTCCCTGGACCTGATGAATCTATCCTAGAATGTCAAGTGAGGCGAGGGAGGAATTTTAAAGGATTTGGAGGATAATGTAGGTGGCCTGATTAATAAGTTTGCGGATGACACAAAGATTGGGGGAGCTGCAGATCGTGAGGATTGCGAGGTTACAACAAGATATAGACTGGCTGGAGACTTGGGCAAAGAAAAGGCAGATAGGTTTTAATCCAGACAAATGTGAGGTGATGCATTTTGAGAGATGCAATGCAAGAGTGATGTTCACAGTAAATGGCAGAACTCTTAGCAGCAGAAATAGAGATATCTAGGCACACATGTCCATTGTTCCCTGACAGTGGCAACACAGGTGGATAAAGTGGTCAAGGCAGCATATGGTATCTTCGCCTTCATCGGTCAGGGCATACAGTATAAAAATTGGCGAGTCATGTTGCACAGAACTTTAGTTAGGAAACATTTGGAATACTGTGTAGAGTTCTGGTCGCCACATTACCAGAAAGTGTTAGGGCTTTGGACAGAGTACAGAAACAGTTTACCAGAATGTTGCTTGGCATGATGTCGACATTTGGTATGCTTGGTCAGTGCAGTGAGTATAGGAGTTGGGAGGTCATTTTGCAGCCGTACAGGACATTGGCTTGGTCACTTTTAGAGTACTGTGTGGCAGTTCTGGTCGCCCTCCTTTAGGAAGGATGTTGTGAAACTAGAAACAGTTCAGAAAAGATTTCCAAGGATGCCAGGGTTTGAGCTATAGGGAGAGGCTGCATAGGCTGGGCTATTTTCCCTGGACCCTCAGAGGTTGAGGGATGACCTATCAAGGTTTATAAAATCATGATGTCCATGGATACGGTCAACAGGCAAGGTCTCTTCCCCATGGTGGGGGAATCCAAAACTAGACAGCATAAATTTAGGGTGAGAGGGGCAAGATTTAAAAAGGGACCTAAGGGGCAACATTTTCAGAAAGAGGGTAGTCATGTATGGAATGAGCTGCCAGAGGTGGTGGTGGAGGCTGGTATAAATACAACATTTAAAAGGCATCTGGATGGGTATATGAATAGGAAGGGTTTAGATGGATATGGGCCAAATGCTGGCAAATGGGACTAGATTTATATAGGAAATCTGGATGGCTGGACAAGTTGGACTGAAGGGTCTGTTTCCATGCTGTATATCACTATGACTCTACGGAGGATATTAGCTATGAGGAGAGATTGGAC